AAAAAAAATCACATATAAATTCTTAAAAACAATAAAAGGTAAGGAAAAGTAAAATGCATGTTGCAATAACTAATTACAAAAGGCACCAACTTTTTGATAAAAATAACATCAACGAAAAAAAATAAGTAACAAAAACACACCTTCTTATCAAGAAAAGCACCTAGTGCTTGACACAGCCCTACAGTAGTAGTGGACTTGCCTTCACCAAGTGGAGTTGGAGTAATCCCTCCCACCACCACATAATATCCATCTCCAGATCCTTGAAGCTCATCAAGCACAGATAACAAAACCTATAGAAAAAACCCAAATCCTCAAATCAAATTCAACTTCACTACTTTCATCAAATAAATACCAGGAAGGAAACAAACATGCTTAACTTCCAACATATATTTCAATGGGTATTGCTCAACTCAATGTGGGCACTTGAAGAACAAATTGTTTCTTCGTTAACCATACATTTGCACTGCCCTTTATGTTCCATATTTAAACTCTAAAAGGAAATGCAGTTCAAGTAAAAGTCAATCTCTACATCTCCTTCAATTTTCTTTCTCACCACAAAAGCAATAAAAAACAAAGAACAACAAAAACCTGTCTTTTAGCAACGAAATCACAAAAATCAAACTAAATCACTGCAAAAAAGAATGAAGAAACAATTACCCAAAACTTTCCCTGAATTCCCAAAAACCAATAAAAGCATTGGCCTTTTCTTGTAACTTATACCCGGGAAAGGGAAAACGAAGGGAGAAAAAAAAAAGCAATCACCTTTGCTTTGTATTTGCCATAGAGATCATAATGATCCGGACTGAGATTGAGTTCTTTGGCAATCTCAGATATATGAAAAGGTTCAACTGAGTTTGCAATATCTATGTCAGCTGGCACAGGTGACACCACCTCAAGCTTCCTCACTGTCTTTGACGAACTCATCTTCTTCCACCCACCAAGAAAACTCGAACCCTTTTTGGCCTTCCGAAAACTTACTAAATTCTTGGTGGGTTTTCGGGTTCTGATTCACCGAAGAGTAAACTACACCTTAAATCCCTTTTCCGCAACAAACGTCTCTTTCCTTCGACGAAAGATTTGTGTGGAGAAAACACAGACACTGAATTTTGAGCATGGAAATATTGGAACGCGTGATGTTTCTTATCTACTGAGGTGTGTAGTGGCGACGGTAGAAGAAAAAGATAGCGTTACGGCGGCAGTCACATTATGTCACACGTGGCGTAATACTATTGGGTACGCGTATAAATGGAGGGCTCCAGGTAAGTGTTTTTCAGGAACGGGAATGGGTTGTGATGTTGAGGGGCGTGAGTTTAGAGTGGGAGTTGGTGTGCTGTTGTGATTAGCAGACAACGTGGCGCATAAATGTGCTGACTAAGAATCTTGGACTCGAGTAATTATTTCCTAGAAGAAGACAAAACAAAAAATTAGAAGAAAAATATAAAAAAGATGGAGATGCGGGGTATCGATCCCCGTACCTCTCGCATGCTAAGCGAGCGCTCTACCATCTGAGCTACATCCCCAGATGTTTCTTTCTTCTTCCGTATTAAGTTTAATCTATCATCGCATTCTTTATCGATAAGGGTTCACCATCAATTTCTCATCTCGTATGTGCAAATAATAACATATTTCGATTGAGAATTTAGGAAATGTCAATAATATCGATGTTTAAGTAATATTCGAGTTAGAAAATAAGTGTTTAATATATTTTATATTGACTTTTTTATTACGAGAATATACTCTTTATAATAATTTATTAGTTAAAAAAAAAATTAATTCAGCTTTAGATATGTTAGTCTAAAAGACGGATAGAAAAAACAATTGTTTTTTAGAACGAAACAAAAAATTTCATAAAAATTATATCGTAAATAGTTCTTATCTATTTGATGTAATTTTTTTTTATTTTTTTTTAATTTTTTCATAAATTTTTATAGAAACTTAAAATACATGATTTTAGATTCTTATGAAATCTCGACATTAAGAAAATAATTAGATTGACTTGTTCCTTGATCTAAATTTTTTGACTAACGATAATATCTATTCATATAAACCACGTCTTAAACTTCTATAATAAAAATTTCTTTTAACTCACATAATGTTAAATACTCTCTCAGATATTCAATTATCAAAATAAGTTTGAAGTACCAACTAAACTATAAACGATAGTAATGAATCGAGATAATCTCTATAGAAGTAGACACTAAGAAGTTGAAAATGAGAACTCGATATGAGATATATCATGTGTACATTAATGCTATTTAGTAACTAATGCTATATAATCATATTATTGTACATATATTGAGAAGTATACGTACACGACTTATTCAAGACATCACAGTGTAATACTCGTTAACAATCATCTCTTATTATTCTTTTGTTTTTTCCTGTATCTCGTTTGTTAATGTATTTTATTTATTTTTATTCAATCAACTAAATCGAAATTGAATGTTTTGCTCGAGTTAGTTCTATTCATTAGATTCACTATAAATTGGACCGCTATTTTTATAATTTTTTATTCGCGATTAATTTGTAAAATTCAAAATATTTGTCCATATATCTATATTTTTTATTTGCTTGAACTCAAAAAAAAAATTAATTAATTAATTAAAGTACAACACATTAAACATTTATATTACTACTTATAATTCAAAATTTGAATTTTTTTTTTTTTTCTAAGTATGATTCAACCAATGAGCCTTCATATTCAAAATTAACCAAAGAAAAACATATATATTTATATGTATTTATATATTGACAAGTTTAATACATTACAACATTTCATAGTACCATAAAAGAATCAAGAAACAAACATTATTACAGAAGAAATGAATCAAAAATGAACTTTATACTTAAATAATATAAATTAAAATCAATCGTTATCATCAACTCGACTTTTTTTGATCACGTTCGATTCTAATCAGTTTCTACTGGTAAATCAGATACGATAGCAAGAATCCGACAAATGCTGCCAGAACGAACTACTTTGAAGCTAGAAGCAGATCTCATCATCTTCTTCGAAAAAACTTCAGACGAACTCGAAAGAATAAGATAAACCAACACTTGAACAAGCAAGAACAATGCCACCTTAATCAATATATCAGCCAACCATATACCTACTACCACCATGTTTGTCTCCAATAATTTTTCCTAGTAATTCCAAAATAAGATTGAGACTGTATATCTTTCTTAATCTTTTGGCTAGCTTCATATATATATATATATATATATATAGTCAAGGATTATATATATGTATATGGAAGAGGTTCACGAAGCTGCAGCTTATTTGACTTGTTGCCTACGATATGGAAGTTGTTACTTGGAGACATACATATTGATTGAGGAAGAAGCTTTTTAGCATGCACTCATTAAAGACATATGAGAAAAGAGCTTTTTTTTTTGTGGGTTTCTTGCAAGTATCAATTTTTATGAAGCTTCACATGAAAATACATATATAATATATATATATATATATTGGAATTTTCAATTGGGATCTCCTTAAAATATTTATCTCCACCACAATTTTTTCAATAAAAAAAAATATTTATATAACGTATATATGATATATATATATCATATATCTATATTAACTTATACAATTAATTAAATTAAATATTTCATTTGTAAGTTTAAGATTAAGAGATTTTAATTTTTTAAATTTTGTTACAACAATTTTTCTTGCAAATTTTTCTTGTCTTTAACTAGATTAAATTTTTTATATATATAAAGACATAAAATGTGCTAAATAAACTTTCACAAAAAATTTCTTGATGTTTTCAATTTACGCTAAGCCGATAAATTAAAATGAATCGAGCAATTAACTTATTGACATCCTGATCGATTGATACAATTCGAATTCGACCCAAAATTAAATATCGATTCAATTGGTGTAGCATTGCTTTTATTTCTATTTGGAAGAATCGGTTCTTTCATAACCAATTAGGGCTGAAAATTGTACTTAACACAGAGATTATATTGTCGTATAATGTATTTTTAAATACGATAATTCTATCACTTTTTTTTTCTCCGGAGGTATAGAAGAAGCTGCAATCAATAAGATTTTTTTTTTAATCATCTGTTCTCGAAATAAAGAAGGTAAAATTCTTTTTTCTTTCCGTATAAACAAGAAAATCAAATCTAATCGCTAAAAGAAAATTTGTTTGGTAAAGAATGCACTTCTTAATTTTTGACTCCTTCAATCCCGACAAATATTTTCGATCAGTGCAATAAGACGTGTCTATTTATTTATTTTTTCACTCGAAATAAAAATAAATTTTTTATAAAAAAAAGTTAGAATATTATCCCATAAAATATAAAATTTACTCTCTTTATAAAATTGTCAATACAAACATATCTCTATCTCTACTCACCCCGTGACTATATTATACCCTCTAATTTTGAATATATATATATATATATATATATGGGTGACAACAAAATTGAATGAATTGAGTCATTTGTTGGTTCTTGTATATTATTATTAATATCAAATAAGAAGAAGACAAAAAAAAAGCCAGACACGTGTCAAGAACTCCTCCTCCACGTGGGTACCATTCCGCAAATTATTGGAGCTGTCATATCTAATCACGTGTTTTAAAGGAAATAAAATTTTATATTTTAATTTAAAATTAAATTAATTTAATTAAATAAACAAAAATAAAAATAATTAAATAATTATAAAAAAAAAACCCTAAACCGTTTAATAAAATTTTTTATTTTTAAAAAAAATTTATAAAATATACAGATAAAGATAGTAGATGGTACATTGAATTTGGCATTTTGTTCTTAAAGAGGTACTGAGGAGACTTCATATTTGATTTGCTAGTCTGATGGCGGGGTCCACAAGTTTGGTGGTTCAAAAAGAAATAAGTGGATATATATATATATATATATACACACCACTTAAAAACATGAAGTACAATATATATATATATATATAAAGGGGAGGAGAAATAGATGTTCTTTCATTCATATGAAGACCATATCAAATATAATATCATATAATATTTTTTTAACTTACAAGATATTATATTTTATTAAGATAAAATTTATTGAATTTATTATAACGATTACTCAGATATACTTTAAATTCTGCTAAATTAAATATTATAAATCAATTACTATTAACTCGTAATATACTCATAAACTAACGAATTCTATATTTCAAACGAGGTTCAAATTCGCAACTTCAGTCAAAATACGAAAAATTTTAATAATTAAATCACTTAGTGATAATTCTTTTAATCATTTTAACTATTGAATTGTATCATCTTGAATCATATATATATATATATATATGATTCATTATATACTTCTTAAAATAATAAATCAAGAAAATATTACCACCTACTAATATTTGCATTATCTAATGACAACGAAAGTTAGAGCTTAATGATTAACTCGTTTACGAGTCTAATCCGTGTTTTTCTTTCGAAAAAATTAACAATAACAAAAAAAAAGAGGGAGGAGGAGGAAGGTATAATATAATAACCTTTTAACTAGTAGATACAAACTGAATTGCTCATAACTTAATATGTAGAGAACTATATTTTATCAAAAGGGAGAAAACTGAATTGCCCTTTTATGTTTCCATATTGTGATACCTTCATGCTTCTTCATCATTAGATGCATCTGAGAAAATTTCGAGTGTACCGTAGAAACCATCAATCATCAACAATTGTCGAACCATTCAAGGTATGATACTCGAGCTATCGTAGGAATTATTTCCATTGCGTGAAGGGAACTTAATGTACAATATCTTCTCTCATTTTCCCCATTTCGTGCACTCAACTAGAGACTACTATCAATAAGTCAAAACAACTTACAGAACAACTGCAAATTAACCCTGATTGTTGGGAAGAGAGTTGAGAACAGAATGCTCTGGTTTGTGATCGCATTCGTAGTCTAGATGAACGAATGCGCGCTCAACTTCTGGAAGTTTCTCGAGCTTTATCTGCAGGGACTCTCCTATGGTGTGTGCCTCGATCAAAGGTAGATCTTCTGGAAGTTCAATGTCGACCTGTTTCAAAAAAACAGTAAAAAAAGAAGCTCATTTGCTTGACAGTAAAGGATCTTCAAGAGTGTTCATGTCATTCAATATTGGACAAAAGGAGAAATATAGGGTAACATGTTCTACTCTTTACTGTTGGGTTTTGTTTTTATACTACCAACTAGTGGTGAAAAGGTGAAAAGAGTACAAGTTATGCTAACGTTGTATTCCCTGAGTCACCATTGATGGATTGCAGATTAGGCTCAATTCTAATGACGAAAAGCACAAAAAGGTGCAACATCATTGACACTCCAAACTTATTACCCAATTTACTAATTTCCTAATGATACTATTCCAGATCCCAATTCCTTTATGAAGGCATCTGAGGCAAAATAAGTTTAGCAAGATGACCTGATGCAGCTGCAGAAAGCTTAACAAAAGCTACATCACAAACCTCCACAAAGTATAGAACGCCAAAAGTGTATGCGCGGACAGTATCAACACGCTTGACTTTAGGGTGCCTTATGACAAGATATGTCAATTTCTGCAAGACCTCAGGCGAGGCTGATTGCCCTATGAGTGAAACTGTATCAAGAAACCAGGTGTTAGGCCAGTTATAGTTCTACACTCTCTAGTCACAACCTTCTTCTCTATTTAACACTGGAACTGTCAAGGTCAAAGAGAAACAGAATAAGAAGAAAAAGGTACCTGCATTTTCCAGGACAGTCCCAGACCAATTTGAAATTGTATAGATTGCAAGGATAATAGCACCAACAGGATCTATCCACCAAAAGAATCTATCTCCGAGAACAGCTGCAATTAATCCTACTACATTTGTTACCACATCGAAATAATGATCCTGCATAAATCAGCATTTGTAGTGTTATATTTCTGTTATTATTAAATGGAAGAGAGCAAATCATCAATCAAAACAGCCCCAATAAACCTTCGCGTAGGCCCGGACGATATCATTGCCAGAGCTTCTGCAATAAAACCAGAGACAAAGTTTTACCACAGTGGCAGTTAACATGATAGTGTACATCCACACCAATTGATCACCAGTCATCTTATCAGGAGGTGTATTCTTAATTAGTTTCTCTACAGCCTCAACCAAAACCTGGAACCCTGAAAGAAACAATAAATTCCGTCCACACCCCTAAGCAAAAGACCAAGTTCGTAAGCTCTTGTCTCTCCACTAAATTAACCAGGAAAGGAAAAGAACCCGCTTCATTTAAGAAATCAAAGACATGAACTCACCAAGTGTGGCCATGACAGCAGCAAAGACAATTATCCCAACTGGCTGTACCCTTAATTTTCCAATAGGATACTTATAGATATTAATGTTTTTCATAGACATATGAGTGAACCAAAGAATCCCACCAGCCATAAGATCAAGTAAAGAATCCAGCGTTGACGCCGCAATGGCTATGGATCCACTCTTGATTGTAGCATACGCCTGCAAATGATTGACAATTTGACATAAGTTGTTTCCTACTAGATCAAATTTAGGAAGAAGACGACCCACTAAAGACAAAATTTCATGTGACATCCACCCCTTAGTCTTCAACTAAACATGTCGAGAAAATTAATTTAGTCTTCAACTAAACATGTCAAGAAAATTAACCTAATATTCCTTTTCAGAAATTATAAAAAACAGAAGGACTATTGTTTCAGTACCTTTAATGCAAGCAATATAATATTGGCATAATTAGAAATCTTCATTGCTCTTTCTTGCTGGAGTTGTTCCGTCAGATCTTCCTCAATAGGACCATTAGATTCAACCAATGCATCAACCTCCTCAAAAGATTTCAAAGTCTCAAATTGCCTCTCATAGTACTCCCTTTCCCCTGTACAGAAGACAAAAACACATCACTTAGAAGAAAAAAAAAGACCATCATGCTCTGTTTGGCAGCCTGGAAAATACAGAAAAATGAAAATTGCTCAAGCATTTAACCTTTCCTCCGGAAAACACAAAAAAAAAATTAACAAAAAATCTAGCAAACACGTAAATGAGCTGGTTAATATGAAGAAGACTGGAAAAGAATGCCGACAATTTGAATTACGAAAAACAGAATAGATAACTCTATATCACCACATGTACGTACATGCACGATATCCACATCCATAACTTCATATACATATGCATATAGCACTTAAGTATGTGTTTGTGTTTGTGTGCCTCTGTCTGTATATATATATATATATATATATATATATAGAAAGAGAGAGAGAGAGAGAGAGAGAGAGAGAGACCGCTGCTTAAGCCTTTAGCTCTGGAAAAATCAAGGTTGGAAGGAGAGGACTCGGGATCGAGACCAGAGCGGAATTTTCCAGGCAATCTGGAGACGAACTCGTTCCGGAGTGAGGTCACCGAATAGCGTCTAGTGAGTCTACCGCGAACATTCGTCGAATGATTTGTTTTCTCTAAAAACGGCGTCGTTGCATCCACATCCATCTCCTTCCCTTCCATACCTCACTAGCAAATTCTCCCCCCTCTGTAACACAAAGAAAAAAAAAAAAAAACACAGACCACGGGAGGAAGAGGATGGAGGATAGATAGCGGGGTTTCCCCCAGTTATTAAAGGACCAAAATACCCCTCCCTATTCAAATTTGCCGGAGGGGTAATTTAGTACTTCCTCACCAATTTCTAATTACAACAAACTAAACTTTCAGCCACAATTGCATGACTAGGTTTCGGCTCATCACCGCTCAATTGCCCTCCAAAATTACGATAATACCCCTCCAAAGCCGGTGAGGGCAATTTCGTACTTTCAACTTTATTTTTGTATTTAGAAAGACTTGCCTGATTATGTTTGGTTGTATTTTTTGTTATTAACGGGGAGCAAGAATCATGGCCGTTCATTCGGAAAGTTCCAACTCACCGTCGATATTTTTTCAAAATATTGATTTTATTTTCCTATTTTTTTATTTTTTATTTTCAAAAATATTTAATTTGTTTTATACTAAAGAAATCCAATTTTCTATAAAATTTAAGTCGACCCAATAAATTTTATAAAATTAATATTATTATTTTTTTGCTTATATAATTAATATAAATTTAATATCGAATTAAAATATACTTAGTCATATAAGATAATTTTTTAAATATATACGATAGTGGCTATCTAATTTTTCTATACTAAGTCTTGGGTTGTTACCATCGTGTACTCTAATTATTAATTTAATAATTAAAGATTGTAATCTTTGATTAAAAAAATTAAATTCATTTTAATTTTTTTTTTAATAAAAATGTGTATATGTGATTGAATAGTACAATAATACATGAAAAATAATGATAATTAAATACAATATATTAAAATATATATATAATCATGTATAAATTATTAAAATTAGAAAAAATATTTATAACAAATAAAATAATAATTAAATTAATTAGAATTAAGAATAATAATTTAGATATTGAACGACCCTTTTCATGAAAAGTCTATTGGTCAAAACAATATTAAATTGTGTATTTATTAATTTTATATTTGAGTCATGAATATTACCCCCCATAAAATCTCCCTCACGAATCATGATTTTATGGCAATAATTGATTAAATTCTTTTGGATCAATCATTTTCAGAAATTAAATCGAACACAAACAAAAAATTTAAGACCAATTAGGTGGACCAAATCCCCCCGTAATTACGAAGAAAAATTTAAATGAAGTACGAACTCTCTCCTCGTAACCTAACCCTCGTCTTAGAGTTATAAATAACTTTTTTTTTAGCACAAATAGATTTGTTCCCCCGACCCATAAGTTAATCTCGATTTGATATAAGTTACGCGAACTCCTAACAATTTATCGGATAATTTTACAAATCGAACCCTACCCATCGAGCGAAATCAGTAATTTTTTAATCGCGATCGATTAAAGTTAAAAGTTTTATTAAAGAGGGTAGTAGAATCTTCTAAGGGTATATAAGGGTATATCGTTATTTTTCAAGAATGATTAGGATGGGCTATTTACATATACATATATATGTGTGTGTGTGTGTGTGTGTGTGTGTGTGTGTGTATATATATAATGAAGTCAACTTGGAATTTAGGGTGTATCTAAAGCAAGAGAATGAATCAATAATAGTTTGGTAAGGTAAGTTAGTAAGACACGGCACCATGAACATACGACTTAATGTCACCAACCCACTCTTTCACCCTCACATCACGGGATTCTTCTTCTTTAAAAGCACATACACCGTCTTCTATGACCAATTATTTTCTTTTTAATATATATATATATATATGTACATATATACATATACATATACATATACATATATATATAATTCATTAATTAAATAATTATGGTATTTTCATTGATGAGGTTTGCATTTTAACACGTTTTTTTTTAAAAAAAAAAATTTAAAATTGTGGTCAAACAATAAACCTAATGAATCTCTCGTATATTCAAAATAAAAGATTCTCGTAACCCTCTCGAGCACATAAATTTTGTCTTATACAATTAATTCTTAATTTTATATTGAGTTAATATTATAACCATATAGTAACTATACAATATATAATTTAATGAAATTAAATATTTAATTCACTAATATATATATATATGAAACTATAGTGATTAATATAATAAATTAAGTATCAATAAATTTATTATATTTATCAAGAATCATCGACCTACTAGCCAACCAATTATTATTTTATTCGATAGTTAGTGCATTCTCCTATGTACTTATCGAGAAATTATGTTATAATTGTTATATATATATATATATATTATCTAATTAATAAAATATAAGTATAAGAAATACATAAATTTATTATTTGTTTGTCTAATTTGCAAAGATTTACGAAATATATTTATTTTTCGGATACAACTATTATAACTCGATAGAGAAAAAGACCAATTTAGTCATTACAGTCCTAATAACACACCTTCGAGCTATATTCTAAAAACGCAAAATCAAACATTATGGGTAAACGATTTATAATATATCTTCAATGAAATCTTAAAAGCACTAACTAGTAAACTACCGTAACGGTGATAACTCGTTGGGAGAAAGATCAACTTGGTCGTCGTAATCAAAATAATACACAAACATTCTAAACCCTAAATATGTTAAATCAAACATTATAGGTCGACAATCTGTATCGTGTTTTCAGTGAAGTTTGAACTCGTGCACTTTTAAGTGAATTACTAAAATACCAACTACTAAACTCTTATACTAGTGATAATCAAGAATATTTACGGCGCAAAATATGTATATATATATCCCGTTAAAAGAATATATAACCTTTGAGAACAAGACATCCATACAATTGTCTTATTTAAATAAACCCTATAAGTTCCCCAAAAATTTAACGTATTTTGTAATTCATGAACAAATTAGAAGTTAAATATTACATGTATAAATATTATTTTTAAAAAATATATATTACGTATTAAATAAATTACTAAATTTTTTCTAATCCAAAACAGCTGTTTAATAAAATTTTCGGATAAATTTCATAAAATCTTTTAATTTATTCCAAAGACAAACTCCATGGTGTACATACCTGCATTCGGGATCGTTGGAGAAGATGATGATATAAATGGATCAACTGCCTGCATTCTATCATGGTGGGATGGGGAGAGCCTTGCCATTGTTGTTGCAGCTCTGAGTAGAACACAACAGGCCCTGATGGATCCAGATGAAACTTCAACCATTCTTGATTATGAAGAGAAGTTCCAAATTAGAAAGTACCTCTTGACAGTCTCATCACAATTTTTAGTTTGTTCTCGGGCCTTTTCCTTTCCCTGGCACAGGTTCATGCCCGCATCCATTTGGTTCACGAGCCAGAGTTAGCAAAACTCGAGGGTGCTTCTGCTGTTCCGAATTAGAGCAAGGATTCGGAAGCTGAGGCCTTCCCGGAACTGGTTTGTTTCCCCTTCTTTTCTTGTTGAGACTGTGACTTGCTTAAAGCTTGGTCAGCTTTGGAGACAATTTTTGAGACGGTAAATCCAGCAACTTCGAAATTTTGCGATCTATAAGGAAGCAAAGAATTACGAAGAACAACATCAATGCCGTCATACGTCCAAACGTTTAAAAAGGCTTCTCCCTTAAGTCCAATGCCAAACCAACCAAGACCAGCAGCAGCTATATCTACAGAACTTGAATCCCAAGTGTTACCACTAATGCGAAACTCCTTCTTCACCCATTTTCCAAGATCTTCAACTCGTTTCTCTCCGATTGGTGGCTATAACAGGCAGCAATGAAGACAATATCAGATAGAGAAACCAAGCAATAATTCTTTTTTTTTTAAAATAAGAGAAACCAAGCAATAATATGCATCATCTTTACGATATTCGCAGCAAATCCATCCTTCACCATAGTACTTGACAGGGTACCCAAACAGACAATTACCCGAAGAAAATCATACCTATGCAACGACGTTCAAACTGCCACATGCATCATTCTATAGGCCTCGGTCATATATATATATATATATATATATATATATATATATGAAGTCAATGATATTGTTATATTCTTAATGGTACGAGTAATGAATTTTGAAGTAAAGACAGAGAGGATTTCAAAATTTATCATTCATTAACAGCAGCCAAAAAAATACCTGCAACTGTCGACCAAAATGTTCGTCTTTGATATCGTGTGCATTTTCCAGCTTTCCCATGTGTAGCGGAAGATAAGGAGAAGCCCAAACAGTAATATAAATAGAATCTACTGAACATTCTTCAATATCCAGCCTCATGAGTCCACCAACATGAATTGAATGACCTTCCTGCCATAATCAAATGATACCAGGATGAGTTACAGCAAGTGAATATAAGATCACTCAACAAAATTTTGTTACCAAAAGCTGAGCTGTCCGAAGTGAAAATTTCACTATCACCAGGTTATTCCAATACCTCAGTTCATTCATCCCCAGAGGTCAACTTCACTTCTCCACATGGGTTCTAGAGGATCCCAAAGCAATATACCCTACACCTTATATCCACCTAATACTAACGAAACCTAAAACGAACTAAAGAAAAGAATGGGAAACATGGTTTAACTCAACCACCTTAAAATTGTCAGAACTGCAACTCAAAAAGAGCAGGGATTTGAAATTGTTGATTTCATAATATGGTTCAATCATGCAGGCACTTTTTATGTCAGAAACAACCAAGGAGAGTCTATCCATAGCTAAAACCTACTTCCTACTTCCCCAAAAAGCTACATGACTATTTAGGTTGCAAAATTTTGGCCAAAGTTAAACACTGAAATTTTGACCTCTGATATGTGTCTCATTTGGAGTAGCTTGTAATATCTACCAAAGAAGCAAAGTAGAGAAACTCAATGCTGATCAATATAAGATATCACGATCTCTTCACATTACTACCACTAAGGCTCCATCTGGTTTAAGTATATTATATTTCTAATGACTAACATTGATTATTTGATATGTAAACTTTATGCATAATTAGATCAATTACACTTCAATCTTCCCTCTTACTTCAAAACAGTCCAGAAACACTTCATTCCAATTGAACGTGAAATTAAGTTGAAAGTAAGATCTTTTATAATTTAGATTTTTTCTATGTGCATCGTGTTCTTATTTGAACTCAATAGGACTAACTCTTGAACAAAACTCAGTCTAAATGTCAAAATAAAAGATGATAATCAAACAACAATACCATGAAACCAGCTGAGAACCTCCAAATATAAACTGCAACAGGAATAATTTTTTCAAGGAAGAAACTTGTTAACACCATACCCAACTCATAAAATTCAAGCATTACTGACCCTGATTCTGTAGGTCCTGGGTTTCAACTCCTTGCTAACGTGGACAAGCTTCTGCTCTTCCCTCGTTAACCTGGTAGTAATCTGATGGGGATTCAGTAACCCAGGCGTGTCAAACAACTTAGCCTGACCAGGAAGAACACCCTCAACCCTAACAATCCCCAATGTCGTTCCCGGCACCGGCGCCTCCGTCAAATGACTAATCTTCCCTCCGGCTATCTTCCCTATAGCGTTGATCAAGGTGCTCTTTCCTGCATTTTGCGCTCCTATGGCCCATACGTTTCCTCTATTTCCCGCCAATTCCACCACATCCTCCACCAAATCCTTCAGTCCCCAATCCCTCACGGCGCTGACGAAGTGCAGCTTTGCGATCCTAACCAATCCACCTTCCCTGGCTCTCTGCCGCACCCAATGCTCGAACCTGGTGGGCGATAGCGAGCTAGGTAAGAGGTCGATCTTCGTCACCACTAGCAAAACCCTAGGTATGTTCCCTGATTTACCTTCCTTCCACGCACTGGAATTCTCTTCTATTGTGGCTGAGACGAGCTTCGCTACCTTCTTCGGAAACGATCCATCAAAATCCGCAGCATCAACTACCATGAGAACGACGGTTCTGGATCCGGAAGCGGATCCCAACCTCCGTCCAACCGTGTGATCGAAATCGAAATCGGGCAACAGATTCTCCACAGTCGGATCCTTCACCTTCCCGTAGTGCCTTAACGAATGACACCTAGCGCAGACTACAGGCTTCTCGATGACATCTTCTTGGGGTTTAGCGTCGGGGGTAGGGTTTTCTGGTTCCGGAATCAGACCTCTTTTGATGGAATCTGTGAATTCGGATTCTAGTGAGATGGGCACAAGATGGGGACTCTTCCTGGTAGCCGGGTCCTTGTTCTTCTTCTGCGAGGGTTTGATGAAGAAACCCGGGTGCTTGGGGTCCGAATCCTGCATGTGGACTCCGCATCCCGGACAGACCGCGCTGCTCGAAGTGGCTTCTTCATAATTTCCATCGCGAGTCAAGAGCAAACTACTCGAAGAATAAGATGAGTAGGAGAAAGAGGAGATGACGAAGAGAAATGGTTTGTTTATGGAGATATGACGTTCGCGCGTTAAGAGCGACGAGAGATGTGGAAGTGAAGGGTGCACCTTTGTTGTCGTAGAAGGTTGTCTAAAGAGAAGCGAAAGGGGGAAGATGGGTTTCAGCTTCCACGGAAAGAGTTTTCTTGCTGCTAACAGCATCCCTCTCCTTCTCCCTCTCCTTCTTCTCCAGATATTTCCCTGCAATCAGCGGAGTTCGACAGAGGTGTTTCAAGGTTTTAGGAGGGTTTCTCCAGGCAATCAAACGACACCGTTTGGTCCATAAATTATTCAGTTCTACATAAACGGTGCCGCATTACCACATGCCAAATCTATAATTTAATCAGAAACATTTGATTTTTCAGGAAAATTTTACATATTTTATTCATTAATTTATATATATTAATAAATTTCTAATTTTTTAACAAAAATATATAAATTAAAAATTTACAAATTAAATAAAAATAAGTATGAATTATTCAATTAAAAAATAAATAATTAAATCAAGAAGGGTTCTTAAATATAAAAATAAAATTGTATTTGTATATATACATAATGAGGGAGATGCATCTCAAACACATTAGATTATTTTTCACAAAGAATGTGATAGTTGATGCAATCTACAACTACCATATCTTCTCTCTTGGCTGTAGCTCCTAAGCTTATACATATACATATACATATACAGATACATATATATATGTATGTGTATATTCTATATGTGTGTGTATCTCATTGTTCTTTCCATATCCTTCCAGCCACTTTAAGCTTTAGCTCCTGTCTATCACCACCAGAGAAGAAAAGTGCCAAGTTTCTCTGAATGATCAATCCATCTTGACTATCCCGGACTTTCCGGTGACTGTCGCGGATGCTCCTCGGAACTCCTTGCCATGTGAGCTTTCTGCCATTGCCACCAACCTCTAGACTGTAACTGAACTGTCTTGCTTCTTCCTCGTCTCCCATGAATCGCAGAAACGCCATGTAAACAGGTGCCATTCCCAGGTGAAATGCTTCAAAATGTAAGCAGAATTGTCTACCAAAACAGTTAAAAACCTGCAGCCAGCCAGAGAATGTATATTAACATACATACATGTATATATCTATGTAACAGCTTTAGATGGTTCCAGATAATCCAGGAAACATAATATAACATCTGTTTCTGCAGAAGACTAGATGGGTTTGCGTCACTGCAATTTAAGCCTTTCCTTTCAACCTGATCGTTCCTTTTAGAAACTACTCTGATACAAAGCATCGATCTGCTTCTCTTTTAAGAAAATACAAACCATTTCTCGGTATTTAAGCTGTTAGAATTCAATCATGAACAATAATGATAATAGATAGAGTTGTCGAATAAATATATAAAATATTATACATTCTCACGTTTCATCAATTGGTCGAATATGATATTAGCATTCTCCAAACTAGCTCTGATACTGTTATTCAGTTAAAAGATAGATGTACATTTTGTATAAGCACCCAATGAACCCATGTGAAGTAGATAAAATATAATAAGAATCTACAGTAACAGTTTGGTTTGGTTTGATCAATAAATTCAAAGAGCAGTAAAATGTCCTACAGTACTTTTTGCGTAACTCAATGGTAGATCCAACAAGTGCCAGTTAGCTTCGCTGATATTTAAAACGAAAGTTTGCAGATAATGTTAATAGGCAAAGTGTCCATCTAGATTTTCAAAGTTGATTCCCAGTATTGACTTACTAGATTAATCATATGAGATTTGCTTTACATAAAAAGCATGGGGAAATATTTGTGGCTAACCTCGGAATCATGACAAAATAGAAGGAAAATTGCAGAAATCGGCATATGAGAGAGAGAACGTACCGTCAACATCCATGTAGCATTATCAACTTCTTGGGGATTGGACTTGACATATCTGTGGTTAAAAGTACACCCATTATGCATATCAACTTTGTGATCATCCTTGAGATGTATGAGAAGAAGTGAAATATCTCCAGTGACGGAGCACTCAGCTCCTGCATATGGACAGTTGTATGGTCTATATTTACAGCCCTTCTCATGCTTGAGCTTAATAAAATATGGGAAGATATCATGACAACCCAAGATCTGATATTTGCAAGGAAGATCCAGTGACTCGGCGACTTTCTCCAGAGCCAAACACCTTATATTTCCCAGCTCATTCCGGCAAGTTGGGCAAGAATTGTGTACTCTAGCCTTGCAATTCGAGCACACAGTGTGGCCATTGGGACACTAACATAGAAAATTAAAATGTTGCAATAAGAAGCAAACTACATAACTAAATATTACACAAAAGACTTCACTGTGTAACTAGTGGTTCAATTTTAGAAAATCCAGAATCTGCATACTGGGAGAAGTAAAATATGAAAGCTTGTTTTCATTTAGATGCAGAAACAATGCCAGAAGACAGGATCCATCAATGTCTATAAATTACTCAAGTCTAGGAACTTTTGGCTCAGAACAGGGATTGTTCAATATGGTCTCGGGAAAGGGCCATTGACGCAACTTGATCCATCCCTTTCCATATATATATTAGAAGATGATTGATTGTCTCAGCTGTCCCAGTTGTACATAAATCAAGAAAAACAATACATAAGATTTTCATTATTGTAAAAGCAATATTCTCATTTGGAACTCTGAACGTTTGAAGAGAGATTTTGAGAGAGCAGATTCAGGAATTATTTTCTTGCGTGTACGTACAGATCACAATATGAGAGTTTGATCGAAGAAATAAACTCTCACCTCCAGGCAACAGAGTGTTTAGATGAGAAGTCTATTAGTCGTTGGGATACGAGTCGACAAAAGAGGTAACATTGTATCATTTATTAATATCTTATTTAATTTGCCACCCTTATCAGGTTTAACATGTAAAAAAAAAATAGTATACCTGGTAAATGGGAGGGTACATTAAATTCATGCACACCGGACACTCAAGTAGCTCCTGCACCTCATTAGTATATGGTGTCCTGGTAGCTCCTTTTCTGAAAGGAGAACCTCTTAGCTCCATACTCGAAGTTGACATGATATTATCTGCAATAGCCATGCGAGAATCTTTCACTTCTTTGTACATTCCATCTCCAGTATCCATGCTTCACCTCTCACTTTCTGTGAATCCAAATGCATGTCAAAGTGGCTTTACCCTGTCAAACACAATTTGCCTAGCAGTTAAGAAGCCTCTCTGCATTCTTTCTATGGTGATTCTAAAACTACATCATTATAAAGCTAAAAAACAAAGATTTAGACTAAAAGGCCTCAGCTATGGGGTGACAGCTAATTTAGCCAGTAAAGTTGAAGCACGCATTAGAGATACTGGCATATTTATCAGGCTTGGTCATGAATATGTTCCCATAATAACAAACTGGATCTGATAGAAATAACTGCTTAGGTTACACTTCGTATTTCAAGAAAAAAAAAAACAATAACTGCTTAGGCAGTTAGTTATTCAAATAACTACCAACCATAATTATTTTTACAGTACTCGGCTTCGTATCCAGTCACGGGGCCTTATAATGTGAAGTCCCAAAGCAAGCAAGCCGTTTACTTTCCAGTTTTCCGGCTATCCATCCTACAGCGAGGGTCATCTAAGAAAACCTCGGATCTTTTAGAGAACAAATCTTTTAATTAATAATTGATGATCTTATTCATGATAATATACATATTTATAGGAAAGCTAACTGAAATAAATCCCTATTACGATTTCAGTAATATCACAGACCCTTTTTATTCTAATTTTCAATCTAAATATAATTATAGGAATCATAGTCTCAGTTTTATTCCAATTTCCTAATCTAAATCTAAATGATTAATAAAAATTCTTAAAGAATTCTAACTCTTATTAGTTCCCCAAAGAAACTAACTTCCCATCCAACTATAGACTCAAACTCCTTCCGTTTGTTGCTTCCATGGGTCTCACACTCACATGTTTTCCAGCATATTTATTCTGGAGAACCGGCTGTGAGTGTCCCATTTTGTGCAATGTAACAAGGATGCCAGTCAGTCCGTCTTCTCGGGTGACGGGCTCATTTCCAAGTCAGTCAATGAAGATGAGCTTCATGCCGCTTGAACGAAAGAGGAAGCAGCGATAGCAACTCGCCCTGAGGGAGATCAACCAGCAACTAGATTGACTGGCACGGAGTCTGATTCACTCGCCCCTATTTCAGACTTTGACTAGAGCACTTATGTAAAGGCTTCCAAATGAACTTCCTTTCAATACTCCTTCTCGCCTCTTGGGAAGTTACAAAAGCACCTTATAAAAGGGGCTGTGTTAGATGTGGGGAGGTTACTGTTGGATGGAAAAGGCAATTTGCTATAAAGGTTCATGAAAGACAAAACAAATTCTCCAATATAATCTTGGCCTTTTTATTTAATTGCCTGAGGACAATAAGTAAACAATCTAAAGATTATGCAATCCTTTGTAGTTTTGGAGATTCGCTCAAGGGGAATCCGCTGGTATTCGAGGTAAACCAATTTAACAATTTCTTTTGTTTAAATTCAACCTCCCAAAAATAGATCAATTCCAAACTTGTGAATGTTAAGAAAAGGTTATTTTTAAAAAACTTATTGTTCATAAGAAATAAAAATTCTAAACTAAACAAAATCCTCAAACATGCTTAAATTTCTAAAACTATTGTGTTCCTGAATAGCCTAAAGACACCTAATGATGCATCTAATACGAAAATTCCAAATTTCAATAACTTCATATTCTCCACTACTAATGAAGCAGAGAAACAAGAGAAGAGAGACTGAATGAGAAATAGGAACAGATAGAAAACAACCAGAGGACAGAGATCTCCAATCCCAAAATTTTAACTTGAAATACTTAATTCCATTCAAGAATGATCACTGCATTGTATAGAATACACTAGAAGTACACTATCTACAAGCACTACACAAAAATCAAACTAAGAAACACAAACCAAAATGGAAAAATTAAACCATCAAGGAACCAAAACATAATGCAAATCAAGCTATGAACATGATTTGTAATCCTGTGTATATGCAATTAATCTCACCAAGAAACACAGAGCTGAAAAATAAAAGCTTGAAGACTAAAATACAAGGTCTCCACCAGAATCACGTATACCCAGATGAAAATATAAGCCATTTTACGTAACCAAACAACAAAAATAAATAACTAAACTTAAAAAAGGGTAAAGAAGGATCAAGAACTGACCAATAGGTGAAATACCCAGATGAGAAAACGAATTCATGAGCTTGACTAAACGGCAACAGAGATACGTATAGCCAGAGCAACCCCAGTACCTGAGCAAAACTGGTAAAACAAGAGCCACAAAAAGGTATATTATATCATTCAATCAAGCTTTCAATCTCCTCCAGATCCCAATAATTAAGAGAAGAAGAACCCAACGAGGAGAAAAAAAAGAAATGAAAAAAAGACGGCAACGTGTTGAAATATCCGTGAAAGCTGGCTCCGGAAATTGCGTGTCCAAACTTGTATTTGTAAACTCAATATATAAATGAAACAGATGAGTCAAAGCTTTAGATCGCACTCGCAGATACCACTACCCTTTAGACGAACAACACCATACCCGTATGTACACATACGAGTACATACATACATACATACATACATACATACACATATATATGTACACAATATATATTTAAATATATGATGTAAAGACTGATAATTAATGTGGGCTGGTATTGTCTTCTTTAATGGTGACTCAGTAAGTCAGTGGGGTTTATATATGGGAGAGAGATGAAGGTGACATTTCCCGCACGCAACGTTTGAAACATTCAATTCAATGGGTTTCCGGGAAAAATTAAAATTTCTGTCCATTCATACGCTTTTTTAAAAATGTTTGAAGACGACGACGAAGTGGGCCGGCAGTGATCTCCTGCGGCGAGGTCCAGAAAACTTTAGGATGCGGTTGTGACGTGGAGGCTGCAAATGAACATGATTGGATGACTACAGTTTGACTTTCGTGATATTTGATGAGCTCAGCTAAGTTTGAGTACATCTGATTACGAACCGCACTTTAGGATTCAGAATCCAAGAAATCAAAAGACAATGATAATCAGAGAAATCTTTTTAACCCTTTTTCTTTTTTTTTTTTTTCTTTCTTTCAAGCATCATTATGTTGGTTTATATATAAATTATTATGTAATTAATTAAAGTCATTTTTACACTACTTTACAAGATATATCAAATATTATATATATATATATATATTGTTGAAAATTTGTTAGTGTAAATAATTATTAATTTGAATTTTATTTAAATTTTAATTTTATAAAACATGAATAGAAATACAAAATAAATTAAATAAAAAATTGAAGTAAAATTAAGGATTTTAATTCACATTTCATAATTTTTTATTTTAACATGTAAAAATAGAAATTGATTTTTTTTTTAGTAAAAAATTCAATTATATATCAATTATAGATTTCAAACGATAACAAGTTTAAATTATATGTAATGTTAAATAATTTTAATTCTTTGTTATTGAATATGATATATTTTACCAACGAGTATCATAATTCGTGATCGAGATCATTATCTATCATATTCGAGGATAATATTAATGTTTAAATGATAGATTAATAATCTTAAATCTCTTAAAACTTTTCGAAACATAAAAGAAACTACCGTAGAAACATTACTTCTCTCGAAGAAACCAAATCTAATCATGAAACATCTGTACAACTACCGTTAGTTTGTCGGAAAAGTTACGCAAGAAAGACAGCCGTTGTTATACATTAAAGTCTTGCACTCCGAAACAACTTGAGTCTGTTTCGAGTGTTGTAGTAAAGAGGACTCACTCAAGAGTTTGGGAGCAGCCGACCATTGTACATCTTGTCAAGCAATTGCCGCGAGTCGGGCCTCCTAAGAAGACCTTTGTTATTTGGTAAACCGGTACCTAGACAAACAGGACAAACAAGTTTCCCTCGACCTGCAAGCAACGGAAACGATTAATCACTGGTTAGAGTCATCACGTGTCAACCCCACGTTACGTTTTCGTCAAGTGTTATAACTTCATTAAATATGATGAGAGTATACGAGAGATTGACCGGTTGAAATGAACACCGTACTCTAATTTCATTTTCAATTCGAACCAAATGGGATCTCATTTCTGTCTAGCTAAGTGGGAAGAAGAAACTATTCCTCAAACATATATACGAAAACTATAATTTAGTTCTACTAAAAGGTATCGAGGTAGTTAAGGTGGAAGAACAGCATATGACTAGAACCAAGGTATCCGTTATAGAAATCACCAAAATCTTGGCAGGAGAACATACCGTAACAATTTGGGCACTCTGTAAACTCATAAACATCTTTAGCACGTTTTCTGTTAAGAGCTTTCCATTTTCCTGTACCACCACACATATCACCTAAATGAAAAGCAGACGAAAGCATTTGAACCAGAGTTGGTGACCAAACACAACAATATGAAGTAATAAAGGGTATAGGTGAAGGGCTATTGATGTCCAAAGTGAAACAAAAGAAATCTATCAAATACACTTGCATTAACATGATAAGGGTTTTTTTACGAAAGCGAAATCAGTAACGGCTCAGAATCTTTGGAAGTAAGAAGCATGTTCTCACTCACAGCATGGAGAACAGGTGAGTGAAAAAAGATGCCCAAATTGATATGTGAATCTAAATCTCTGCCGTTAATATCTCTCGACGTACTACAAACTACGAAGCCCATCCCTGAAATCTTGAAGGGCCCCTTAAAGTTTGTATTTAAACATGTTATCTGAGTATCAGTAAAGAGACTTACACAGAATGCAGATATTCCTTCAGCACACATTCAGATCATGCAACCAACAAATAGAACACATGAATTATGGCACAAAAGATACTCACAAAGCACAGCACCACTGCCACCACAATTTCTGCAAACAGCCCTTTCTTTTGCATCCAAAGCGATTGCCTTTGGTACAGAAAGAAAGGTGCCAGAACCGTTAATCAAAGCTGCAGTTGAACATAAACATGTAAGACACCAGCGCCTTGATGTCAAAGCTTGAGATCCCTGTGGCAAAAAGCAGAGAGAATTATTTACTAGTATAGGTTAGATATTACCTAATTAGCTATACCAGCCAAGAAAATTAAGAAATATGCAACCTTTCAACGCTCAATGAAAACAAATCTAGCACCAGCGGCTGAAAGAAGACTGTTGTTCATACAGCCAATTAATGGATTCATAATCAAGGTTGATAAGACGAGGATGCTATTTTACTTCACAATATGGGTGTATTTTTAGTGATAATTCAAAATTGAGGTAACAGCTTGGAAATTTAGAAGTGGCTGCTAAATTTCGAAAACCAAGGAACATCATGAAGTCTCAGTAAGTTAGTATCGCTTTCTGTTCAAAAATCCAAACACTTAATGATTAAATTCAAGAGAAGAGGCAGGATTCAACGTTAATACTATAATGTGTGAATAACAAATTGATGAAAACAGCAAAAGACTAAAGTACACAGAAAAAGAAAAGATTAAAACCATCAACGTGAATGAGGATAAACTAAGATATTGTAGAAACATGAAACCTTTGTCTCGGTTGGATCTGATGAGAAATCTGAATTAGCTGCTCCATGGGAACTACTGTTTTCCAAATTTGATCTCACTCGAAACTGAACCGACCCCGAATTTGCTGCCACTTAACCCAAAACCATATTTAGAGAGAAATTTATACCAACAAATCCCATGATAGCTCAATGTATGAAGCATTCATAAGCAAAGCAGCTAAACGAGCTTCCCATAACTCAAACCCCAGTTTTACATGATGACATCCGATAGTTCATTCTATGCCCAGCCAAAGGTAAAGCATATATAAAACCATCGACATTTATAATTTCCATAGTTCCGTTACGCACGAAATTCTCGCAACACAGGATCGATTTTTCAATACCACGAGATAAATTCCCACCCCACTTTATGCTCCATGAATGTTCAAGCAAGAAAACAGAAACGGAATTACAGGAAACCGAGTCAAATAACAAAAGCAACGCAGAATCTTTCATTTCTAATCACTACCGACTAACACGACACTCGTACAAAAAATTTTTTTGTTTTTTTCTTCTTTCAGAACAAAAATTAAAACCGAAGAAGCCTGCGACGGAAGATTCGTCATCAATCAATTATCAGACACTCTGTAAAATTTGGAAAACGATATTCGGAGTTTAGCCACGTCAGCGTGCGAGGAGAGAGGGACTCACGGAAGATTGAGGAAGCTTTAGTGGTGAAATCGAAGCGTGAGGGAACTGCAGAGATATGAGAGGAAGGAGAAGAAGACGCCATTTCTTCTCCCTGCGTGTATCCTCGACTGAAGAAGAAGAAGAAGAAGAAGAAGAAGGAGGAGGAGGAGGAGGAGGAGGAGGAGGAGCGTCGGTTGGAGATTTGTGGTGGGTGGGTCAGCAACGTACGTACGCACGGAGGAGGATATTTTGGGCTTTAAAAATATTAAATATATTTATCCGAATTAAAAAATTCAATTAATTTTATAATTTTCAAACATAATGTCTTAATTTTTGAATTAGATTTATATTAATTAATTAATTTAATTAAATAATTAGTACATTTTTTCTCTGTATAACATAAACACACTTTAGAAAAGGGCCTGTTGTTTCAAACACTACTCTATTCTGTTCTTGACCAATTCTAAACTTTGAACTCCTAAGAGCAACAAGAGTATCCATTCATATATGTCAAACATGATAGATATATGTATGTATATATATATTGTAACGTGTATGTATATGTATGTATATGTTATCATAATTACCGTATGATCATCAAAATGATGATAAAATATAACCGATACTCATAAAATAGTTATAAAATAGAATGGCAAAAAAGAAGCAGAACGGATAAAAATAAAAATATACATCATACATTAAGGTACAATTATCTGCTGCTGCAGGTTAAACCTCTTACACTTTACAGACGAAAAACATCAGAGGGGAATTATGAAAAGAAAAGTAAAAAAAAAAAACAAGGGGATGAAGGAAATCAACTTCAAACCACAAAAATTCCTCCTCGGTGTAACTTCTCACGACACGGTTCTCCCGTAGCACAAGCATGCCAGGTAGAGATTCTTCGCCCATTTTTCCTGAATATTTTACAAATTCACAGAGTATAAGAGCTTGCCAACCTCAGTTCACTCACCAATATAAGTTTGTACACAGACCTAATACGAAATGATTTTTTTTTTTTTATTGTTTTCCAACATGTAGCTCAATCCACTAACACGCAGGTACAAGTAACAAAGATTTCGGTTGCTGGATGGTAACAAGTCGAATAATGCACGGCTTACAAGCAGCAGATGAAAATAAGTGAAAAATGCATTTGGTTTATGTATTTTTATTTAAATTTCAATCATGAAACTAGAAATAATAGCAAGCATAAATAGTGATTATTTACTAAAAGCATGCTCGAGAATTACAAATTTAACAACACTACTATTTTAGTTCCTAAACTATTTGCTAAGTTACAATTAGATCGGAGAAATTTTTTTCCCTGACAAACTAGTCATTCAAGTTATAAAATGTTTCAATTTGTGATTTTCTTATGCAATTGTAAAATTTAGAAGTACTTACCTTAACATGAGTGCTTGGAAATTGGGAGGTCCGTAAAGTTTCTTGAGTCTCATCCCCAAGTCTGCGCCTAGGAACGCTCAAGATAAGAGCAGCTTGATCTGCAGTTGCAGCTGTTGATGTAATTCGAAAACCACCATCCCAACGCCTGTGGATGCCCTCGCTTGGATAAAGAAAATCAAGCTCGACAACCTTAGGAAGTCATTGAGAAGTTTAAGTTAGAGACCTTAAACTGAAGATAAACATACTTAAAAAAAAAATCATTGTAAGAGAACAGCCATGTAAGCCTCAAATCAATTCTTATTAAGTTGAAGATCCATCACTTTCATGTTCTAGCTTGACTGAGGTTAAAACTTTGACATCCAAAATTAGAATTGACTCCAAATAAGAAGAAGATATACTTTATAAAGATAAGAGTACATTCTAAATAGACTGAAAACCGAATCGCAGGACATTCCAGGATTTCAGAACAGAAAAAAAGAAGTTAATCATCTGAAAGAACCTGTTCACTGAAGCCTGCATTGCGCGACATGACTACTCCCCATCGGCTTCCAGCAGTTGCCATTGAGGTCACATGAAATCCTTCTCTCCATTTCTTGTTTATCCACTTAAATGGGAATGAATCACTTACCTTGTAAGACTGTTGAGTATACTGGGTGCCTGCAGAAATTAGATCATACACTGATTGGTTAGTTTCAGAAAATGAACATTGAGAAATCTAAAGGAACACAAATCCCATTAATGCTAAATACTTCCAAACTTTTGATCATAGTCATGAATACATCCCAATAACTCAAGATTGCAATTCAACATCATAGAGGCTAACAAAGTACACAAATCAACTGATCTTGGAAGAAAATAGCAAATTTGATGAGGCTTGAGGACCAGACTCACAGAAGAAACCACATTAAGACTGCTGTGCAAGTTGCCTATTTGTCTATGTGAATTATACATACTGCGTTGTTCAATATGAAATCAACAAACCAGATATACAACAAACTAAACAATGTGAACTACCTTTAGACATAACTACAAGGGAGCTTCCATTGTTAGCACCAGCAATAGAACTAATGTAGTAGTTTTTCTCCCATTGTTCCATTATCCACTCCTGTGAATTTGAGACAACTTTTGGTTACTAAAGAATTAGTCTTAATCTAAAAATGGAAACAAAATTCGAGGGATGAAAAACAGAATCCACAATTACCTTGTGTAAGAAGAAAGGAGATAATTCATAAACCTGGCTTGTGAAACCAGTTCCAGCATCCATAATGAGGGCCCAAAGATTGGAACACGATGCAACACAACTTATTAGCAAACCATCTGCTATACCTCTCTCCACATGTTGTGCCAACCTTCCATCAGCCACATTATAATGGTACCTGATTGCATGACAAACAAGTGCATGATAAGGAAAAATCCTAAATGCAGTCATAAAGAATGACTTGCTTCGACAGGACCATCAATCTAATACTTGGCACCTTTCATCTGGTAAGTTAAAATAACCCCAACTTGATGATCATCACTCCATTAAAAAGCATTAATATTAGTTTTGAACTCCAAATACTCTAAAACAACAACTAGAAGATTTCACAGCCATAACCATATAACGAAATCATTCATGGGCATGTAATGCCAAACTAGCAATCAGTAGTGCGGTACACATCTTGTCATAATGCATGTGCAAAGGCAGCCAAAATAGACAAATGAAGACAGGACAACAAGGAAAACTAACTTACCAGAAGTTAGATATGACGTATCTCAGCCCAATAAGGGAAAACGATACCTCAGAGCTTGACTTTCAGCAGTAAACATATAGACACTAGAAGTTAGAATTAGCCCCCATGTTTTAGTATGTCATGATCTAACCTCTAGGTCCCCATTTCAAACCAATAATTGGAAAGATCTTAAATTGAGAAGTCAAAGAACAGATCAATCCCATGGTTCTAGAGAAGCCAAAAACAAAAAAGAGTCCCCCTTGGCTTGCACATAGACACAAAAAAAAGAACATGTACATAGCACACATATACATGCATATAACACACATTTCCTTTCAATGCACACATCATAGGACAACCAAACAGTAACTCCATTCTTTTTAAAGATTAGAAATGAAAATTAGCAATTTTTCCTGAAGAGTTGAATCTACCTCTGCTTCATCGGTAGCCTAGCATTGTAAATTGAAATCCATTGTGTAGCAGGAACTCCAAGACGAACCTTCTTCTTAGGCTGTCCATCATCTTCTTCCTCAGTATTCAACCTTCCTCGTTTTTGCCCAACTTGATATATAATCTAAACAATAGGTACATGAGTTATAATTATGAATCATTCCTAAGGGGATTTAAAAGAAGAAAATGTCTTCATTCATTGTGATTACCTTCTGAGCTCCCTCAGTGTTTATTGGCCGAACAGCTGGATTTGGTCCCATCAAATCCTGAAACAAAGATATTAACTTGGGATAGTTGGGTTCTTCATCAAATTTCATGTTCACCACAATCTCAAGAAATTGTTTCAGAGCAGGAGGGCAGAAGCAGCACAGCATATCAGGAGAAGTTGCCATCTTCTTTTTGCAAACTAGGAAAGATTTGTTATCACCCTATAATTTAAAACAAGAAAAGATAAGAAGGCAGAAAAAATGTAGCATTTACAATTCTAACTCCACACGACAGTAAAAAAATTCAGAACTCATGGCACCAATACCTGATACCCCTGCCAAGGCAATCTACCCCGATGGAGGAAGATGAGAGTATATGCAAGAGATTCAAGGTCATCCCTTCTGCTAGCGGTTCTTCCCAAGTGCGCATGGACACTAGCATATCGAACAGTTCCCTCTATAAATTGAATAGCAGAAGAGTCAGGAGAAATGTATACAAACAGATTACAAACAAACATACTGCAATTAGAGAAACACAAATCACCTGAACATATCAGGTCGCTGATCATAGTCAACATGCTGACCATTGCCACTATCTCTCCACTTTGTTGCTGCAATATCATTATTGTGAACATGAGAAAGGAATCTAAAAGTTAAATGTGAAGACACAAGAATCAAATGAACTTCACTTGCCTAATCCAAGGTCCACCAGAAACAACTTTTTCTCTTGTGGTGTAGATGGCTGACCAAGCAAAAAATTTTCTGGCTTAACATCTCCATGCACGTAACTGGCATCAATAAGTGAACCAGTAGATACAAGAGTAAGGAACTTAATGACTAATATTAGAACCACAATATTGTAGATTTCATGAAATAGTGATACTTAGTATTATATGATAAAAAGAAACAAAATGCAGTCCAATACCCTCTTGAGTGCATCTTCTCAAGAATTGATAGAGACTCAACTGCAATACAAGCTACCATTTCAGAGGACATACTGCAAAAGAAAAAAAAAACACAATTTTGAGCAAGCCAACCAAATATGGCTTCCTGAGTGTCCAAATAACAGAAGAAACAAAAGGACATAAACCAACCACCGGGCTTCCTACTGGTGGAGCTAATAATTAAAGGCATGGAGTCACCAATTCCCAATGGTGGGCCACATATCACAGGATAGTAATAAAGACATCATGTCTTTCTTATCTGTTAGCAAATAATCACATAAAACAAATAACCATGTACCATGAATTAATACTTACGCCTGTCCTGAAGTATTCCATACATCCCATAAGCTAGGACCAAGCATGTCCATAACCTGAAAATGTGCCATAAGGTTAGATCAAATTGACATTAGAGAAAAGAAAAATGAAATAGAAGAGAAAAATTGGATGCAGATTTATACCATAACGTAGTAATCTCCTTGCCTCCCTTTGTAATGTACTTTTGGGACTCCATGACTGCCACCAAGAGTGCTGCTCACCAAAATTCCATGTTAAATCATATCAAATTTAACCTAATTTTCACATGAAAGCATCAAACAATAGTCATGATAGGAAAGTTCATTAAAGGGCACCTACTTGTACACTTGCCACTCATAAGGAGGACCATAGTTACAACCTTTGCTGTTTCTATGCTCAAACTTCAGGGCTACCTAAAAGAAAGACAAGTAGACAAGAGATCAGTAACAACAAATAATATATACACCTTTCAGGTGCAAGATGATCCACACAAAGTTTACCTCAGTGGCACCGGGACCAGATGTACGGTCATTCCCACCAGTTACACGGCGGCCAACAAACACCTGGCCAAATCCACCTTTACCTAGCTTTCTCTCAACCTTATACACAGGTGATCCTCCTACTTGGACCTGGAAGAAGCAAGTAAATATAGCAAATATTATCATCTTGCAACAACCAAGGGCAATTTCTCAATACATCCTCATACTAGTAGCCTCGAATATAACATATGTTTAGCAGGTAACTGGAAGTATGTAAGAGAAGCAACTTCAAACATAGCATTCCCGTCAACATATATAAACACAGCTGCCCTAAAATTCCATAACATCCATCAATATACTCCAATATTACCCTTCAAAAACCCACATTAGCATGTCAAACAACAAGGTTCTGACCCTTCTACCACTTTTCCTTGCAAGCAAAATCCTACCATTACAACAACATCCGACCCAAAAAGCAGCAAATATATGCAAACCAGCATGCCAAGTTAAATGAACAAAAAATACAATAGAAACAACAAACAAATAAATATACCCTCTCGGGAAATGGTGCAGTGTTGCCCTCTTCTTCTTGCCCAGCAGCCTTATTGGCACTCAACCCTCCACTATCATCACCCATTCCGATACCTTTCTCTTCTTTTTCTACCTTTTGACCCTTTTTTTTATCGTCGCTGTCCCTCTCCGAAATCAGAACCACCTGATCCTCCCTAACAATCACCTCCTCCTCCTTAACAATCACCTCGTCCTCTTGCTTCAATCTTCTCGCTGCCAATCTAGTCCAAGGCCCCTCTCTCGCCCCCGGGACTTGTCCTGCAACCGCGTTACCTGTTTTCACGCAATTCCGCTTCCGATTCTGCTGTTTCGGCTTCTTCTTCTGGTCCTTCTCCTTCTGCTGCTGCTGCTGCGGCTGCTGCTGTTGTAGAGCTACAGCGGCGCGGCCTCGGCGGACTCCACGGCGAAGCTCCGGCATCGCTCAAACCCCATGCAATCAGAACGGAACACGAAGAATCCGATCATTATAGTCTCTCTTCTGCAACAACAACTCTTTTCATCGCTATCAAAGACGAAAACGTGAAAGAATTTCCTGTCTCCAGAGTCGACAAAATGGGGAAAAATTACACAGAAAACTAATTCTCCAATCACAACAAAGCAAAAGTTAAAAGAGAAGAGAAGACTGCGATGAACAACAACCGGAGAGACGATTATTGCGTTAGATTCAGATGAGTTTCAGACGGTAGGGTTAGGGTTTGGTGAAGAGGAAAGGACTGTAAGAAAATTAAAAACACCGAGAAAAATAAGAAATAGAGAACGCCCAAGTCCGACTCTAACTGGGAGAAAAGAAAGAAAAGAGCGAATGGAATTTTCATTTTTTCAGGTTTGGTTTAAAATAATAAAATATTAATATTTAATATTTAATATTTAGAGTGCCACGTCATTATTTATTTTTTAAAAAATCTCAATTAAATTTTAACAATTTGGTTTAATTTACATAAACTAAATTAATTAATTTTTAATATCTTATTATAAAAAATATATATATATAAATATAAATAAAGTTAAATTTTGAATTTTAAAATTTTTATAATATTTTTATTTATTACTTTATTGTAATTATAAATTATATTACAATGATTACTTATAAGGTTATATATTGATTTTGATTACTTACACTTTTTCTTAGATACTTCGATAATGATAAAACTTTTTGAATTTGCTTTAATTTCAACCTTCAATGGGATTTCTTCATAGTAATTATCACAACAATTACTTTTATATTTTACCAAATTATTTATTATTTCTAAACTAAATTAATTAATTTTATTTATTATTTTAAAATATATTTTTACATACTAATACATTATGTTTAATACTGTAGAATATATAAATATAATATTAAATAATGTATTTTTTTATTAAATAAATATTTGAAATAAAAAAATAAATTTTCTTATCATAAGATGCAATAAATGAATTTTATACAAAACTTCTAAGTGATTTTCTTATTGATTTTGATTATCGCCGTGGGATAAATTTATATTTTTATCACTTTTATAATCACATATAAAAAAAAAAAAATCGAGAAAAAAATAAAATAAATTATAAAGTTATCAATATCACCCTTAAAAAAATTCTATGCGAAATATATTAGTTTAATACGGGATGATAATACATTAATAAGTCGATATAAATGTTAGTATACATAAAAATATTGTGATGACTAATATATTTATATACGCCCTAAATAATTTATGTGGAATTCATGATCAACAATAGAATTAAAAAGTACACGATTCCTAAATAGTATTAAAGACTTAAATTTTAAATAGATTTTTACTGTTTAACTCACTATCAATTATGTGATATAAACTAAGGTAACTGAGAAAATAAAAGAATTAAAAAAGAACGTCGCAAAAGTACCTTGACGAGTTGAACAATTTCTTTACTCAATAAGAATAATGAAGAAAACATCACTTATCAAAAATATAATTTATAATTTTATTGCTTGAACTTGAGTTACAACCATGAATTGAATGTCTATTTATAATTGTAAACTATGTGAAATACAAGTAAATAAATCTCTTAAATTAATTGTAATAAATTACATAAGAAATCAAATGAAAACTAGAATATGAAAAAAATGACAAATATGATAATTATTACCATAATAGCGCGGATATGGTATCCCTTTGTGGAAACCTCTTAATGGTGGAGATCTTCATTAATTGTGGAGGTATCTGTCTTCAAAGTTTTGAGATTTAGTTTTTTATTTTTTTTGAAAGATTGTGATTGATTTATGAATATCTTGGAATTAATTGTCGATTATCCCTTAAACAAGTGAATTTGCTTGCAATTTTAAGAGGATTATGAAGAAAAAAAAAATGAATATTCCCACTTGGGAAAGAATCCTTCTTGAATTGGGAAGGTTCTTCACACATGGGAAGATTTTCTTTCCTATTTTCCATGATTCTTTTTTTTACTTGGAGTAAGATGCATTTGTCTTATCGTCATTGGTTAAATGGGATTGCTCTTATCCTCTTATGGGCTTCCATTTTTGGGCAAACCCTCTCTTTATTAATCAATCCTTTAACATAGATTTTAAAGTTTTCTTTTGATTGATTGGTTCATATTCTTATATTTGATCATTTTGTCCTTAAGATACTTTTTCCATATGGCTCCAATTTCATTACGTGATTTGTCTAACTTGGTTGTTTGGAGTCCTTTTAAGATAGGCTTAACCGCTCAGAATTGTCTTTGAACAACCCAAACTGTGACCTGTTAGGCTTGATTGGTTTCTTGAATAGTCCAAGTCATCCACACTCACATCATCCATTCCTTCCTCAAAAATGATTTGTCTTTAAATCACAAACTACTTATGTAGGAGTTCTACCAAATATGTTCCGTTCGAGATGATATCCTGCAAAATAGTATTATTAGCCAGAGAAATGTTTGATATAGTCTCTTATATTTCTCCCATCAATTATTCATTATTGGTTTTTTTTCTTGGTAGCATTTTTATTTTATTCTACGACGTAATGCTTATCTCTTAAGATTTTTTTTCCTATTCTCCCTTGACATCACTTTTCTCTTCTCCTGCGGATTCACTATTCCCTTCTCTTTTATCTTCACAGCTCATGTTCTTCCTAAGTATTTTATTGATTCTTAGTTGACCTTTGAGTGATTCTTCGGGTGATAATGATATAAGTATATGTTTTCGACCATTCAAGCTAAAGCAATAGTAGTTCCTAAAACCATCATGAATTATTTGTCTATCACATTATCATGGTCGCGCTAGTAATATATGACTAACATACACAGGCACAACATCACAAAGGACTTCATGAGCGTA